ATAAAGTTTTTAACTTTAACGAAGCATCCCCTATTCCTTTCGTCATTTGTTCTTTCACAACCAGTTAAATTCATCCCAATCTTATTCAAAACTCTAATATCGATTCTCTAATTCAAATGTTCATCCAATTCGAACCAATTCGAAAAATTTCCACGTTTTCAATTTTGACGAAGAATCCCCTTTGTTCTCTCACAACCAGTTAAATTCATCCCAATTTTATTCAAAGCATCGATCCTCTAATTCAAATGTTCATCCAGTTCGAACCAATTATGAAAAATTTCCACGTTCCATTATTAAGTTCCATTTTCACGAAACATCCCCTTTTTCTCGCTTATTCCTTCACGCATTGTAACCAATTAATTTTCCCCAATCATATCCAAACTCTAATATCAATCCTCTAATTCAAATCAAACCAATTACGAAAAACTTCCACGTTTTCAACTTTGACGAAGCATCCTCTTTGTTCTCTCATAACTAGAGATTCATCCCAATTTAATTCAAAACTCTAACATCGATCCTCTAATTCAAATGTTCATCCAGTTCGAACCAATTACGAAAAATTTCCACGTTNGTAAAGTTCTCGACGAAGCATCCCCTTTTCCTCGCTTAATTCTCCCTCTCATCCACCTTTTACAGTTATCTGTCCGATTATTTTCCGGTGGTCGGTTGTCTTACCGCAACTTGCCGCCCCTCCAACAACCGTTCCATTCTTAAGACTTAATCCCACCGCCGCGCCACTGTGATTCGACCGCTTTCCACTACGGCTATCCCTTCGCTTCCACTTCATATTTTATTTCGTTCCCTCAGCGCTCCCCCCATAGATCGTTTCGTAGATCATTTCAAACATTCATTCGTTCATCCGTTCCCGCGTTCAATCTTCAACCCTCGAAAATATTTGCCCGTTGCGCGAACGTGGTTGAGCGTGGTTTGTCCTGTTACGAGAACGTGCCGCCTTTAAGCCGGCCTGGATTATCCACCTCCGCCTCCAACGAAATTATGTGCGGATTTTTCCACGACCGCGAATCTATGTATCGTTGTATGCATGAGAATTATTATAGGTAACAATTGCCGTGTATCCCATGTTGAGTTGGGTTTATCCGGTATATAGTGAGCACAGTGGATATTCTTGAATTTATTTTGGAAATTATTTATTTTCGAGGGATGAGAAACTATTTGTGAAATAAAGATTCAATCGGGAAAATTGTTCGTTTTAGTGTACCTTTCTCTTTCTCTTTGCTTCGGGGAGAAGCAAGTTGTTCAGGAGTTGAAGAAATATTTTTAATTTTAATTCCGAAGCGTGAAAGTTTGTAACAATGTTTCGTTTAAATGAAAAGCGAATCGTAATATTCGATGCCTGTATTATTTCTTTAAGCAAGTTTAAGATATCTTTTTTTTTTTTTACAAAAGAAAAAGATGGGTTTTCGGAATACGATAAATTGGCGAGGTTTCACACGTTCATGTCTGTAAATTTGAGAAACGATATAAATTATTATATACGTTTCTTCGTTGTAGTAATTTTGATATAAATATAATTGAACGTACATTTCCTTTTCCCTTTCTTTCTTTTTACGTAGAAAAAGTTACGATCGTGAAAAGTTATTAAAAACGCGTTTTAAACGACACTGCGAATTAATTCAACGATAAGTTTCTGATCGACGATGTAATTTTCATAATAATTTCTTTCTTTGCGTATCGTAACTCGACAGAGCCAAATTTTGGCCTTTGGCGTAGCGCTTAACCCACTTCGAAGCTTAAGCGTGGAAGTTTCCCCCTCCTCTCTTCTTCTTTCTCCTAGTACACTTTTATATCGCCAACCTAACCTCACCTCCGAGCCATCTCCCGTGAAAAACAAAACCTCTCTAACCCCCACCCCGGGATATAAAGCGACGAATTTTTACTGATATCAATGCCCTCTCTGTCTCGCCGCTCTCGAGCGTCTCTACGATAAAATTCTGTCACGACGAAACGGGGAAATAATCAATTCATAGCTCACCGTACCGCGCAAGATGTACGCTCGCGAGGAGAGAATCGGCGAGGAAAGTAGAGAAATTCGAGCTTTGAAAGGATGGAGAAGAAAAATACGAGTAAAAAAGAGAAAGAGAGAGAGAGAGAGATAAGTTTGGCACGCGAAATGAGCAGTCGTAATTTTTACGCGTCGCGCCACTCTGACCCACAATATCCCCCTTCCCTTTCGCGCCGCTCTCTCCCAAAAACTTCCACTCGTTGTATCCACGATTCTACCTCGTCCCTCTCCCCCTCCTGTGGTCATGTCGGTTCTACGACGTCGGCCGCACGGTGCATTCGCATCACGGAGTCGATCATTAATAAAGTACCGTTGAAAAAGTACGAAGTTAAAAATTTCGAGCGAAGTATAACTTGTCTATTAAAGTGAATTGAAATAACGAATTATCGAAGCTCACTTTATTCGTATTGACTTCGATTTTCTCTATCGCTTTTACATCGAGCGTAGGCACATCGCATGTTCCGACGGAACATAACCTCATTCTTTTGGTTTTCGTTACGGAAGCAACGAGTTACGCGGGCAGATTTATCGAATCCAAAACTTTCTCGCCAAATTTTTTCCCCTTCTCCTCCTGCACCTTACCTCCTCCCTCCTCTCGTCCGTGCTGAAAACTTTACAATTTTATCAGCTGAGCCAGACGATTAAACGGACACCGCGCGAGCGAGCATCATCTCGTCGACACTGGCTGTCGACCGTCCGAGAAGTTTGTAGAGCGGAATTTTGAATTTCTTTTCGAGGTTTTGTAATAAGTTTTCTCCTCGGTTTTGTTTTCGGACTGTGGACGGTCCGAAAAATTTAAAGGAAATTTAAGGGAAGCGTCGTTGAAAAAGTTGGACACGGTTGACCTAGAAATTGCCAGTGGCGGAGTGTCGGGGATCAGG